ATTGACTAATACTAATATTGAGGTTAGGCATCGGTCGAGTGCAAGGTAAGGGGGGGAAATCAATAGACGAGGTCGTGAAGTTACATCGACTGAGTGAGATGGTAAGGACAGATGTTACGTATCCCCGGCCATCGCCTTCCTCAACAGACTAGCAGTGTTAGCTGACATAGGGTCAGGTTGCAGAAGAGCCACTGGTGGTCAAACCAAAACATGGCTCCACCAGTCAATGAAATGCACAACAGTTACTTTAAGCCAGTAAAGTAGGGAGGTGTAGACTTTCTGACTGGTTGGGGGCCTCAGGAAGGTAAAAACCAATGGAGGCTGGAAACAATTGGTGACATGGCTCAAAATCGTTCTCAATGACTGGTGAAGATGCATCCACTCCCGTGACTTATGATTTCCAACGAAACAATATTGTTCTTCGTTATTACTATTCCTTCGTCTCACATCTCTGTTTACTGTCTTTATTGTGCATTTCTTTTACTTTCTTCTCTTGCTTTGTGTGGTACATAGAGGAGGGAGTGTGGCGACTCGAACTGCTTCCCATCGGTGCAAAGTTCTATGTTGATGGTTGACTAATGACAGTAATTGGCTACCACACAACAAGTAACACAAAAAAGGAAACAAAACAGACTCACAAGAACGAAAGTGACGCAGAAAGAATAGTAACATGAAAAAACAATGTGGTTTTATTGGATATGACAAATCACAAAGAGTTAACGCATCTGCGCTAGCTACTGAGAACGATTTTGAAACATATCACTAGTTGTCTCCAGCCACTGGTTCTTACTAACCTGAGGAGTCAACCATACACCATCATACGTGGTGGCTGATTGGTGCGAACTAACAGTCAAGTAACATTGCTCGTCAAAATATTCTTCTAAAAGCTAACATGATGTATGAAAACCGAAGGAAGAACACAAGAAATACACAATTAAAGCTACTTAACATTTGACTTAGTTTCAACTTCATTGGCATCTATGATAGTGGAAGCATGCAAACTAACCATCTGATGTAAGTCACGCTTCTTCGTGATAGTCAAATTAACGATCTGATATTTCGAAGAAGAAATCAGCATAGGTCCGTTTGATAAGGACTACTGACCAATTTCTAATAAAGAACTATTTATTTTGGAACAATCTGATTGAGAAGCAATTAACATACAAATATTCTAATCATAACAGAACAAGTCATGTAAGGAAACAGAAAACATAAAAGGAGAAAGAACAGAGCCTTCAGAAAATCCAACTAGATTAAGTAATGAAGTATCATACAATTCGCCAAACAGACAGACACTTAAGCTACATCATATCCAGACTAAATCCACACAAAAAACTTAGGGGATCTGGACTTCGCCGATGATATATGCCTGATTTCCCAAAAAGTGGAAGATATGCAAGTGAAAAGCAGCAAGTTGGCAGAAGAAGCATCCAAAAAAGATAGGACTTCCTTCAGGTGAACAAAGAGAAAACAGAGATGATGAAGATTCCTGGCCCACAGCAACAACAACAACAGACAACAATCAGCCAGTATAAGTGGGACGAAACTGAAAGAAACAACCTCCTTCACCTACCTACCTACCTACCTGGGAAGCATCGTTTCAACTACAGGCGGACAGAACTGATGAGGATATCAAAGCGAGGATCATCGGGAAAGCAAGACAAGCTTTCATTACTCTCAAGTCTATGTGGAGGTCAACAGCACTCAGCATGAAGGTGAAAATAAGATCCAGATTTTTAACTCCAATGTGAAGTCAGTGCTACTCACTATACGGATCAGAGACTTGGCCCGTCATAAAAAGCATCTCAAACAAACTTCAGACCTTCATTAACAGCTATCTTCGCTCAATACTCAAGATCAGATGGTATGCTGGAAAAGATCAGCAACAGGTTGGGATCTCTGACAATGGGCAAACGAACTAGGAACCGATTGTGAAACAAATAGGTAGGAAGAAATGGAGATGGATTGGCTGGCCATAATCTGAGAAAACAAACCTTCATGTGAGTGACATCACTAGACAGGCATCACTCGAGTGGAACCCGAAAGGGAAGCGGCGAGTTGGTCGTTAGTGCAAGGGTGACTTGGAGGAGGTTATGTAAGGAGGAGATGAAAGCATGTGGGCAGACTTGGAGTGGAGTGAAAAAGTTGGCAGAGAACCGAAGGCAATGGAGACTTGGGCGGCTGAAGCCCTATGTTCCTCTAGGAATTACAGCAAATAATAATAACTATCATTATTCTTCCTTTGGGTTCCAAGTGAAACATAGGGCTTCAGAAACACACCTCTACTTGGTTCTATTTTTTAAAATCTTCATCAGCTAGGTCTACGATTGCCTATAATCTCTGATTCGCCCCCACCCGCACAATCTCCTCCATGTCCCCCTTGCACCATCTACCCACTGGTCACTTCCCACTGGGATTCCATTCGAGCGATGGTTTGGCTGGCGGCTCTTGCTCTTGGTTGGTAAACTACATCAACTAGCAATATTAATTTACACTAATTAAAGAAAAATAAAACTCATGGCAATGCAAAGAAGTCGTTTCTATCGCCTTAAATAGCCCAAGATAATATGGACCGAAAAAGAAAACGGCCACTCACTCAATTTACAGAAAGTCTCACATATCTTCGAAACATTGACAGGTATCCGTAAAAACTACGATAGTCAAGTCTAGTTATCAATCGGCCAAGAGATGCAAAGTTAAACTTTAAAATTAAAGTTCAACATTAAGGTTTTAGAAAGTCAATCCTCCCAATTGTACATGTTTCTTTGGATGTCAAACAGTTGAGTTTTTTGGAAGTGAAACGCATTAACATAACTTTATACTACTAGCTGTTAGCCAAAATTGGTGGACAGTAATTTACGTCGTTTATGTTTATGTCCCGAATATTTATTTCTTTATTACTCCTTTGTCTCACACCTCTGCTCACTGTTTCTATTATGCTTTTCTTGTACTTTCTTCTCTTGCTTCGCGTGCTACACGGAGTGTGGCGACTTGAACTTCCGCACATTTGTGCAAAGTTCTATGTCGAAAAGAGATACACAGACAGACAGACAGACCCCAATATTGGTCGTTAGAAAAATGAGAAAGACTTTTCATAGGCGGATACAGTTAACATACAGATGATCTGACATTCAAGAAACAGCCACATAGAGATGCAAGGTTAACTTTCTGTGAGAAACAACCAATCAGAGGACTGTGCTTGTTTACTAACAGTAATCTATAATAATATACATGAAAAACTATAAATATGTGTTGATTTGCATAATAAAGGATCTGTTGCCTGGCCGTTGTCTTCTGTTGTTACGCTACTACTAGTACTACTACTAATGTCGAGTCAGTCAGCGCCAACTATTTAGTTCAGAGACTTGATGCGAATGTCACAAAAGGCCTTTAGAACGGGCTGTTGTAGACTTTTATCAACAGCTACCTTCGATGACTCCGTACGGAGGATCAAATGGCCAGTCAGTAAGGACTAGCAAAAAAGCACTCAGGAAATGAATCAACTAACAGTCTTAGCTCAACCAAAGTGCAGAAATGCGGGTAATGTTAGCTGACATAGGGTCAGACTGGAAAAGAGCTAGCTGAGGTCAAACCAAAACATGGCTTCACCAGTCAATGAGATCCACAACAGTTAGCTTAAACCAGCCAGCCACGTAGGAAGGTGTAGACTTTCTGACTGACTGGTTGGGGTCCTCGGACGATAAAAACCAATGGGGGCTGGAAACAATTGGTGACATGGCTCAAAATCGTTCTAAATGGCTGGTGCAGATGCATCCACTCCTTGTGACTTATGATTTCCAATTAAACTATGTTGTTCTTCGTTACTACTATTCCTTTGTCTCACACCTCTGTTTACTGTCTCTATTATGCCTTTGTTGTACTTTCTTCTCTTACTTTTTGTGCTACAAAGAGGGAGTGTGGCGACTTGAACTGCCGCACATATGTGCAAAGTTCTATGTCGAAAACAGACAGACAGCAGTCAGAGACGCTACCATTGAGCTATTCGGACTCGCGATTGACCTCATGTAGGACTGACTGTATTGGATACTTTCATTGGACACTAGTAACTAGTGTGATGTGTCTAGTCCTTTCTATCACTCACGCCTTTACATGAATATAAAAACGCTGATCAAACACAGTACACATTGAAACTAAGACAAATAAGATAAACATACTCCTAATTCCAGAGATATATTTAGAATTTACATAATTATAATTATAACAATTCATTCGTGTAGCTAAGCAACATACATAAACATTGAGTTTGGCAATTAAAAATAGTTGACTAATAATAATAATAATCACAGAGACTTATCTATCCTATATAAAGTAATTAGGCTCCATCATATTTAAATTCTTCTAATAATAACAGTATATTTCACAATATTGGGCAGAATGAATTTATGCGGGAAAAATAATTTACATAGAGTTTTGCTTTTATTGTCTTTTTGGGATCAAAGTATGGAATTAATCAATTATTGGAAAACTTGTGGATATACCAATTCTACTTTTCAAGTATTAGTTCTGTAGGAATTTCGTTTGATTGGATGGAGGATTTTATCATGAGGTGATATCAGTTAGAGATCCAGGTTAAAGGTGAGGCAGTAACCCATCGAAGAAGACATTGTGAAATGGTCGCCCTATGTCGTGAATTGGCAGAAGTTAGAATTTTATGGGCCGGCTGGCCATTGTATCGAGTCCCAGTGGCTCAATGGTCTACGAGCCAGCTCGCCTTTTAACCAGGAGGTGCTGGGATCGAACCCGGTGGGTGCGTTCTGTTGAGGAGTCCCAAACTAGGACGAAACAGCTGTCCAGTACTCCCAGGTTTTCCAGTAGTCCTCTAGCTGATGTCACCTCATGATGAAATCCTTCATTGTTAGTTGCAAAAAAGCGGTCCATGATACGATATGATGCCTATTTATCAAAAATTTTAACTGGAATTTATTCAAATTGTCAGTCAAATTAAAAGTTTATACTCATAACACATATATTAAAATTACCTCTTCTTCTTCTCCTTCTTCTAAAGCATCTGATTGTGATGATATCTTTTTTATTTGTCGTTTCGATTGACTAATCATTTTAAGTAATGCAATCATTGCTTGTATCTGTTCACTTGTTAACCGGTCATTATACTTTGATACTAAATGATAATGTAAACGTTCCAAGAAGAATTCATTGGATTTTTTCAAGTCAACATCATCGATTAGTTGAGATTGTTGTTCATGTTGGTGTTGTGACGATGGTGGTGCTGCGGTTGCTGCTGCTGCTGACGATGATTGGATATGTACAGGACTTAGCATAGATGTTATCTGACCAGATTGAAGAAATGATGGTGTATGAGAGGAGGCTTGTTCAACACTTGATGAAAGACATGCTGGCTTTATTGAAGGATTATAATCAGCTAACTTTCTTTGCATATCTAAGTCCAATGAATGATGCTGATGTACAGGTACATTTTCATCAGCTAAGAAAATTTTAAAAAACAGAAAAACAGTGAAAAAATATAAGAAAGAATTTATCGATTGACACAAATTCAACTGTAATTTAAAACAAAACAAAACAAAAACAACAACATACAGCCTGTGCTTAACAAGCACCATAGAAGTGGATAAAACACAAGGCCTTTCCTAATTAGGTATTGCGTTATTATTTTTCTTTTGCACAGCATAGAAATAAGCTTGGATTAGTAGGTCAGAAGCAATTAGATTGGTGCAACATGAAAATTTAACTAGACCTAGAATGATTGACCGTGTTAGGTTAAATAACCTAGAAAAAAAGTCCAGCCACTGTATTGTATTCATCTGAATGTAGTCACACGATACATGGGGTGGGACAATAAGCTGAAGGTATAAAAAAGTAATATGGTTCGGTAGAGAAAAAGGTTAGTAGCTGAACCTTTGTTTATTCATTCAACACCTCTGCTCATCAGTCCGCTCCATCCTTCTTTATGACTGCGAGACCATACCATTGAGAGTGGAAGACATGAAAAGGCCGGCTAGCTGTCTTTGATCATAGGTGGCTGCGTTCTATCTCCCATGTGAGCGGTATAATAGGGTGAGCAATATTGAGGTTAGGCGTCGGTCGAGTGCTAGCTAGGTAGGTGGGAGGGGAAATCAATTATTATTCCTTTGTCTCACACCTCTGTTTACTGTCTCTATTGTGCATTTCTCTTTACTTTCTTCTCTTGCTTTGTGTGGTACATAGAGGAGGGAGTGTGGCGACTTGAACTGATGCACACTGGTCTGTCTGTCTGGATTCAACATAGAACTTGGCACCGAAGTGCAGCAGTTCGAGTTGCCACGTTCCAAATAGCACACAGAGGTAGACAAGAAGATGAGTGAAGAGAATCAATGCAGTCTGACAAGTATAAGAGTGAAACAGAATGGGTAATGGTAGAAAGGAATATGAAAGATTACAGAGACTGAATACATCTGCGCTGGCCATTGACAACGATTTTGAGCCATGTCACCTATAGTATCCAGCCATTGATTCCTAGAGTCCCGAGGGCCCCAACCCGGGAGTCTGCATCTCCCTACCTGACTCAGTTTAACTATCACATTGGTGCAAAGTTCTATGTTGAAAACAGACAGACCCCACACACGTGCAATCGAAGTGACGCAACACCTATATTAGAGATATTGAAAGTGGTAACAAACAACAAGGGGAAGATATATATATAATGATTTACTTTATTCCAAAAACAGTACTTGTGATACAGAATGAAATTTTCCGCATTCATCACAATATTGCATCTAATTTCCTCAAATTATAAATAAAATTAATCACACAGAAAATTTTCCACATTTACAATAGGGATAATGTCAAAAACATGCAGCATACAAAGTGGAAATAATAATAAGAGCTTAGATAATAATAATAATACAAGTGAAAATTACCGTGGGCTTGTTTCACACAATATTGTCGATGTGGTATATAAATCCTAGCATTTATAAAAATATTGAATATAATCTTCTCTTTACATAATATGATGAAGGAAAAACAAAGATTACAGCAGTCATGGAGATAAGTTGGTGTTTGTAATTATGACAGTAAGACAGAGAAGCAACAGGACCATAAATATAATCGAAATAATAAAGGTAAAACTTGAAGGTACATAGGGATGAATGGAGGAAATTGTTTATTTACTAGACGAAAAAAGGGTAGTTAATTGTTGCCTGATACTACTTACACCACATAAAATGCGTGACAAGTATGGTATCATAGAATTTTTATACTTTAACGTGCGATGACTTCATTTAACTGTCTTTTACAAGTTAAGCTGAAATTAACAATCTGACATTTAGAAGGATTCAGTTTAAGACCGTTTGACTCAGACCGTTTACTGACCCCCGACAGAAAGCTATTTATTTTGGTACAATCCAGCTGGGAGTTAACAGCCATTGAAACTGTTAAATCATCAGCGTACTTCACAATATATATATATATATATATATATATATATATTTACATGATATGAAAGACAGTGAGAACGTTCTCAAAATGACTTTAGTTACCACGTTCTGTTGTTGCTCGTGTATAACACTCATGCGTCGGTGGCACAGTGGTTAGCATGCTCACCGACCATGCACATGGTCCGGGGTTCGATCCCCGGCCACAGACGCACTCCTTTACTTCACTAAGCCAGTAGTGAGACTGGTAAAGCGAGAAGGTTGGGCATGAGGCTAGTAACCCCATCCTGTAAAAATAAACACAGCTTGAAGCCGTATGTTCCACTGGGAAAGTGAAGAAAATAAAAATTAAAAGAAATAAATAACACTCTATCATAACACATTTTGAAAGAGATACGAAGTATTGTTGTATAATGTAACGATTAACCAAAGAAATGGATCTCTTTTTTGTCTTCTTCTTCCACTTCTACCTATTTTTAAACCCTATAAGAATAATGTAAACTTTCTCTTCAAGAACAATTTAAAGGGGGGCACGAACTCTATTGCATGAATGATCTGCCTAATTTTTTGTTCTTATTATTAAACCTGAACAAGCACAAAAAATGCATCGATTGAGATTACACCTCAAGGACAAATATATATATATATATTCATTACAGTGCTACAGAAGGTGAATTGTGGACTCGAATACACCTCGGTGGTAATGTCATCGACAGTAAAATTGAGTGATATGAGTTCTAATATCGCAAAGGGGCAGTACCAGTTCCTTGTTGACCAGTGTCAATAAGCATAGAAGTCTAGATTCAGTGCGACCTGTCGGTGGCCTCTAACCATTTGACGGACAAAGATGATGTTAGATGAAAGGCTCTGAATGTGATGCAACAAATAGCTTACATTTTGAATACGTTGGGTTAACAGACAGGGTCCTTTAACCTACAGAACGTATCCTATCTGAGTGAGTTTGTAGATTTGAATGCCACCCTAGTTCCTGCTTTATCAAGACTCATACGTAGGACCTCAGATGTCCTCTCCTTATATGGTAAAACTACTGTAGATGTCCTATATTCTCTCTTATTTATGTTATCATAATTAGTTTCACCCTTATTTTTATTTCGCTTTTAACCCTCTCGGATCTTCTTAGTGAATTTTATAGGATAGTTATTCAACACCAACGCTTCTTTTATCTGTTTTATTTCATCATCTAGGTTTTTTTGTTGTACTACTTAGTGCTACTGCTTTGTTTGTTAGACGCCTAACTAAGCCTGCCTTTAGGTATAGCGGATGAGATGGATTAAAGTCTGAATATCTATTAGAATGCGTTGGCTTTTTATAAACACTAGTGTGCAATTTACCTTCTTCTGTTCATTTTATTTTACACTCTGAAATCATAGCTAATTCTTTTTATTCATTTTCTGACACAAATAGGAATGTTATTCCGTTTACTAGTGAGTTTATAAGTGTCAAGAAGCTAGAGACATGTTATGTTTCTAACACTGTGAAAGTGTCATCCACTTATCTGCTCGAAATATGGTCATCAGTAAATATTACTTACTGTATAACAAACACTGTGAGACATTGTACAAGTTCTATTATTATACTACTGTTATTACTCCCTTGGGTTCCGAGTGGAACATAAGGCATCAACAGCACATTCCCATTTTATCCTACTCTCCATAGGTCTCTCTATCTGGCTACACGATCACCCATAACCTTTCATCTCCTCCTCTTCACACGATCTCTTTCATGTGTCACCCTCTAACCCACACCAAACTTGTCGTCTCCGATTCAGCTTTTTCTTAAGCGATGGCCTGGCGCTTGATGTCACTCAAAGTTCTCTTCAGGATGTGTCCATCCATCCGTCTGCCCTTTCTTCGGAGGCAACCGGTTCTTGGTTGGTTCTTTGCCAACACAAAATTCCTTGTTGCTAGTATACTAATCCAACTCTTTTAATCCAGTCTTTTGACTGATCTGTCTAAATGCATGTCTTCTATGGTCAGCTTCCAATTTTAGTTTTTTGTGTTCTGATAAATACTTTCATGAGTTTCCTTTATTGAAGAACTGTAATACTTGTCGTATGCATTTAATATCCTTTCTTCTCTTATTACTTGGGTGTTAAAAGAGTTTTGTGGTGTGTGTATGGTATGTGTTTCTCTTTTAGCTGCGCCCTTAGTAGCGACGACTTAGCACTAGTTACTCGCGATAATGATGATTTCGAACTGTTAATATGAGAGCCGGGGCACGAAAGATTATCAACATGATCATTTATACAAACGGGGGCTTGCCGACTCTCCGACTGCTGCTCCGAAATTTGCTTCCCTGATCTGGCTTGCATTACTCCAAAGAAAAAATGTATTTTCAACAACGTTGAGTGCTGCCAATTCACCACAGTTTCTTCTGGACGAACGTTCAGTACTGACCAGTTCAATACGGGATTTTTGTTTGACGTTGAGTACCGACCAGTTCAGTACGGTCTCCTCTGAGGCGTTAAATACTGACCAGTTCAGTACGGTCTCGATCCGTTTAGAGTCAAATACTACGTTAAGTACTATAAGCGCAATATCGCTTGAAATTAAGTCACGCGTAGATAAAGGCTATTCCAGTCCAGAACAAACAAGAAGCCGGTCACTGTTTCTACGGTACTTAATGGTTTCAAGAGCACAAAGCACAACGCTTAACAGAAAGCAAGGTACCGCTATCAGAGAGGAGTAACGTTAAAGCCAAAATTGCGAACTAGCCGGAACCAGACACGACCGTTCAGGTAAGCAGTCAGTAGAAGAATGAACCCAAGTAAGGCATGGCATAAAACGGAGAGCGTTTAAGAGAGATAGACCGAGCATAGGCACAAAGATAGAACTTAATTGGCTACTTAACCAGGTAGGAAAATACAGATGAAAATCAATAAATAAGATAAACTCGACAGAATAGTACAAAGTAAGACATGGGTCAGCAAAAATAACAGTTCACAAAATACTCTGATTGGGTCATGAGTTCAATTGTCTGAATAAACGGATCGAGGTAAAAACACATATACACAGTTCATTAAACAAGAGGGGAT